CCTGGCCAACATGGTGTATTTTTAGTCTCTCTCTACTAAAGATACAAAAATTAGCCAGGCATGGTGGTGCACACCTGTAATCCCAGCTACTCATGAGGCTGAGGCGGAGAATCGCTTGAACCTGGGTGGCAGAGATTGCACCACTGCACTCCATCCTGGGCAACAGAGCGAGACTCTGTCTCAAAAAACAAAAAAGGATTATCTAATTTTTTTATTATTGATTTATAATAGTTCTTTATATATTTTAGATACAAGTACCCTATCAGATATATCATTTGCTAATATTTTCTCTGGGTTGTATAGCCTTGTGATGTAAGGGATCTTTCTAAGTGAAGTTTTTAGTTTTACTTGTTTTTGTTGTTTTTGAGATAGGATCTCTGTCTTCCTGGCTGGAGTGCAGTGGTACAATCTTGGCTCACTGCAATCTCTCCCTCCTGGGTTTAATCAGTCCTCCTACCTTAGCCTCCCCAGTAGCTGGGACCACAGGCATGTGCTACATGCCCAGATCATTTTTGTGCTTTTAGTAGAGATAGGGTTTGCCACATTGGCCGAGCTGGTCTGAAACTCCTGGCCTCAAGTGATCCACCTGCCTTGTCCTCCCAAAGTGCTGGAATTAAAGGCATGAGTCATGATGCCCTGCCAAGTCAAGTCTTTTTAAGACAAGGAAGAGAAGGAAAATTCAAATGTAATAATATAATAAGTAAGGCCGGGTATGGTGGATCTTATAGCACTTTGGGAGATTAAGGCAGGAGGATTGCTTGAGCCCAAGAATTCAAGACCAGCCTTGGCTACAAAGAGTCCCTGTCTCTACAAAAAATAAAGAAACTAGCTGGCTATAGTGGAATGCACCTATAGTTCCAGCTGTGTGGGAGCTTGAGGTAGGAGGGAAGCTGAGGAGGGAGGATTGCTTGAGGCCAGTAGTTTGAGGCTGCAGTGAGCCATAATGGCACCACTGCACTCCAGCCTGGGTAACAGGGCAAGACCTGGTCTCTCTCTCTCTCACACACACACAAAAGAAATTACTGTCATCAGCCTATATGTAGCACTATAGATATGCCAAAAAAGTGTTCATTTTGCATAGGATGAGCAAATGTTAACTATTTAAAACAACTTTTAAAGAGAATTTTCCATTTGATTCAGTTTATTTAGAATTTAGCTTATACATAGTGTCGTGTGTGTTGTGTCAGTCATTCCTACTGGATTGTAAATGTGGATGCTGCCTGTTTTGCTTACCAGTATGTTCCCAGGGCCTGTCTGATATGAGGCTCATGTCCAATAAATGTTTGTTACATGAATGAATGAGTAAACATCAGTGTGGGCTAGAGCTATTGGGCGTGTGGCATTCATTAAGTTAATCTAGAAAGTTGTCACAAGATGGAAGATGTTAGGGTGACAAGAGTACAAAGCCCAAGGGTGCCCCTCAGAGCCCTGCCATTAATGAGGCTGTAGTAGCAGCCCTTCTGGGCACATATCCTGATCTGGGAAATGAGGAAATGAGGGGATGCATTGGATTGTCTCCTGTTTTTTTTTTTTTCTTTCTTGAGACTGAGTTTTGCTCTTGTTGCCCAGGTTGGAGTGCTATGGTACAATCTCGGCTCACTGCAACCTCCACCTCCTGGGTTCAAGCAATTCTCCTGCCTTAGCCTCCTGAGTAGCTGGGACTACAGGTGCCTGCCACCACACCCAGCTAAATTTTGTATTTTTAGTAGACATGGGGTTTCACCATGTTTGCCAGGTTGGTCTCGAACTCCTGTTCCAAAGTGCTGGGATTACAGGCATGAACCACAGAGCCCAGCCTGGACTTTCAAAACAGGCAAAAAGGAAGCCACTGCTGTAAAGACACCAATAGACCCTTGTGAGGCTTATTCCTGATCCAAATCCTGGACATTCTGAGTGGCCACCGTGTGCCCTGGTTTGGGGGTCTAAAGGCATGAAAACGAGCCGTGGACATGCTGTGGAAATGGCCACATTTTGATGCATCTCTGTAATTTGGAGGCGCTGAAAGATGTGACAGGCTGTCCAGTGGTGCCATTCCAAAGCCTAAGCCTACGGTGCTAAAAGCTCAGAAATAATCTCTGTTCAAAGGTGTCCTTCCAAGGCCTGCAGCGTGCCCCTCCCTCACCAGCCACGCAGCCACACGCCTTCACATTTGATGCCTATGTCCTGCCCGCCCGCTCGTCTGTGGCATCCTGGGAGTCATGCTTAGGCACATGGCTGGGGCTCTATCATTAAACTGCCAGCCCCGATTATAGCCCTTCAGATGGGCCTTTAAAAAGGCACAGCTCTAAGAGGTGCCAGAATTAAATTGGAGGGCAAATTCCATCCCTAAAATAAAGACCGTGGGAATTGCTGTCTTCTGTAGCTGGGCAATCAAAGTGTTTTTCTTTAAAATTGACCTAAGTCGGAACATATACCTTTGATCAGCGTGTCTGGACCCTCATGCCCTTGGCTGACAATGCTCACGATGCCACATGGGGATTGAGTTCCATGCAGGGGGAGCCAGGACCGAAGCCCTGGCCCATGGCTTGTGATGAGAGGAGCCTCGGGCTGGAGCAGGGTGGGAGGGACCAGGGGGATGGTGGGTGGCAGATTCTGGGGGTGAGAGGAAGCCATGGAAGCATTTTCTTTTATCTTTTTTTTTTTTTTGAGACGGAGTTTCACTTTTGTTGCCCAGGCTGCAGTGCAGTGGCTCGACCTCAGCTCACAGCAACCTCTGCCTTCAGGGTTCAGGCAATTCTCCTGCCTCAGCTTCCCGAATACCTGGGATTACAGGCATGTTTCTACACACCTGGTTAATTTTTGTATTTTTAGTAGAGCTGGGTTTCACCATGTTAGCCAGGCTGTCTGCAACTCCTGACCTCAGGTGATCCACCTGCCTCAGCCTCCCAAAGTGCTGGGATTAGAAAGAGGCATGAGCCACCTCACCCTGTCACAGGACCAGTCTGTAGAGGGCTTGTGGGGTCACTTCTGTTTGGGGAGCCGCAGGCTCTGCTGGAGCTGAGGTAACAGTTTCCCAGTGCTTAGGGCCATTTCCGACTAGCATTGATTGTCCCCAGGCCGATGCATGTTGCTGGCTCTGTCTACCTATTACATGACCCAAACTTAAGGAAACAGCCTCTGAACTTCTGACTCCCTTTAAGAAAGTTTATTTCTTTCCAGGCAGGGCATGGGCTCAAGCCTATAATTCCAGCACTTTGGACGGCCGAAGTGGGTGGATCACAAGGTCGGGAGTTTGAGACAAGCCTATCCTGGCCAATATGGTAAAACCTGTCTCTCTAAAAAAAAAAAAAAGTATATTTCTTTCCTTTTAGAATTTTTTCTCTTGCTTGCTTTGAGGGGTCTGTTTGAGATGGAGGTTCACTCTTTTACCCAGGCTGGAGTACAGTGATGTGATCTCGGCTCACTGCAACCTCTGCCTTCCGGGTTCAAGTGATTCTCCTGAGTACCTGGGATTAAAGGTGCCCCCCACCATGCCCAGCTAATTTTTGTATTTTTAGTACTGACAGAGTTTCACCATGTTGGCCAGGATGGTCTCAAATTTCTGGTGACCCACACACCTCAGCCTCCCAAAGTGCTGGGATTACAGGTGTAAGCCACTGCACCCGGCCTGTTTGTTTTTTGAGACAGGGTTTCTCTCTGTCACCCAGGCTGGAGTGCAGTGGCATGATCATAGCTCAATGCAGCCTCGAATTCCCAGGCTCAAGTGATCCTTGAGTAGCTAGGACTGCAGGCATGCCATCACACCTGGCTAATTTATTTACTTATTGAGTAGAGATGGGGTGTCGCTATATTGCCTAGGCTGGTCTTAAAGCCCTGGGCTCAAGAGATTCTCCCACCTTAGCCTTCCAAATTGCTGAGATTCCAGGTGTGACCACACACCCAGTCTGAGGTTTTAAAATTGTTGTATAGTATAGTTTAGTATAGTATAATATGATGGTTAACAGTGGGGTGGCAGGCGCAGTGACTCATGCCTGTAATCCCAGCACTTTGGGAGGCTGAGGTTGGCAGAGCACCTGAGGTCGGGAGTTCAAGACCATCCTGACACATGGAGAAACCCCATCTATACCACAAATACAAAATTAGCTGGGTATGGTGGTCCATGCCTGTAATCCCATCTACTCAGGAGGCTGAGGCAACAGAATCGCTTGAACCCGGGAGGCGGAGGTTGTGGGGAGCCTAGACCATGCCACTGTACTCTAGCCTGGCCAAGAAGAGTGTAACTCCATCTCAAAAGAGAGAGAGAGAGAGGTTACAGACTCAAAGCGACCCAGCTGAAAATCTTATCTCTACCACCACTGTTTGGGCAAACATCTTCCCTCCTCTGAGACTCAGTTTTGTCATCTGCAAAAGGCGACACCATTCCCAGGGGACATTGGCTCTTCTGATCACATGGCATAACAGCAATGCCTGAGAGGCTGTGCTGTGCAGGAAGCCAGACACCCAGGAGTGACTCAGGAAGGAAATGAGGAAGTCCTGGAGACAGACAGGGCCCCACCCCCAAAGCCCAGGAGAGTAAGGAGTGGGTAAGACATCCCCGCTGGGATGGCACAGGCGACTGCGCCAGATCATGGCAGCTCAACCTCTACATGGGAGCAGGCGAGTGAGGGCCAGAGAGCAGGGCTGTGCAGGGCCTGTGAGGCAGGAACTGGATCCTCCAGGCCAGGGACTTTCCATTTGTTTAGCAGTGGCCCAAAGTTAAGAGATGCATGTTTTAGTGTGACCCCGTCTGAACCCAATTGTATGAATATAACTGAAACCAGAAGGTCGCAAACAGTGTCCTTACTACGCTTCGTGTTCTGTTTTTTTTTAATTGCTTGTCTTGACCCTGTACATTGATTTCAGACTCCTGGGTCTTCTCCAGCAGAGAGCTTCTGCCAGTTTAGGAAGGGCAGGAGCAGGATGAGTTTGTGGATCGCTAGGGGCTCAGAGCCACAGAGGCAGCCCCGGTTGGGCAGGAGAGGGGGCTGGATGGGAGCTGTTGAGGTGGAGGGGTGGGGGGCATGTACTGGCAGTGGGCAGGTCTGATCCTGAACATCAGTGCACAGGAAAGCTGCCAGGTGGGCACACAAACACGTGGGGGCACTTCCCACCAGGGACTCACTCAGCATGGGGTCCCTGTGCCAGGGGTGGGAGGGTAGTAACTCCACCCAGATCTCAACCCCCAAGTTCAAGCAGCCACAGATTCATAAGAAGAACTGGAAAAGGAAGGACTCAGGCACCCTCAGGCGGTTGGCAAAGTCTTTCCCAACAAGGGTGGGAGAAGAGGAGCTGGAAGCTGTGGACAGAGGGCTGTTCATGTCCAGAGCCCTCAAATACCACACCACAGAAGGGACTTCAGCTGGGCCAGGCCAGCACACGGGATGGGGATGGTGCCCCAGCCTGGGTCGGGGACAGGCCCCTGGGGGTCCTGCTGCACCTGGACCATCAGGGCCTGTGTCCCCTGTGCCAAGGGCGTGTCATTTAACCAGGGCTTTCCCAAACCCCCAAATTTGTCTCTTTTTTTTTTTTTTTGAAACAGAGATAGCTCTTGTTCTGGAGTACAGTGGCTCAATCTCGGCTCACTGCAACCTCTGCCTCCTGGGTTCAAGCTATTCTCCTGCCTCATCTTCCCAAGTATCTGAGACTATAGGAGTGTGCCACTACACCTGGCTAATTTTTGTATTTTTAGTAGAGATGGAATTTCACCCTGTTAACCAGGCTGGTCTTGAACTCCTGACCTCAGGTGATCTGCCCACAGTGCTGAGGTTACAGGCTGGAGCCACCACACCCAGCTGGCATTTGCCTTTGAAAATCCTCAAGGAGGACTCCCTGCCTCATTCTCATACCCTGGAGAAAGGCAGCCTGGCTCTTGGCAAGCAGCTGGGTTCCAGGTCCAGTGAATCCCGCCACAGTCCCTGAAGGTTGGCATTGTTGCTCTCCCTGTGTTGTGGGGAGATGCTGAGGTCAGAGAAGTTAAGCTGCCTGCCGAAGGTTGCACAGCCTTCAAGTGGCAGAGCCAGGTGCTGAATCCAGGCCTGTTGCCTCCAGCAGAACCTGGGCTTTCCCCCAGACACCTGTGCCCATCGCCCCTGTTTCCAGCCAGGCCCAAGCCTTCCTCACAGTGTGGGAGAAACTTCCCTGGAGCTGCAGGGAAGTGAGGGATGGGAAAAGTGTACTGCCCAAAACACACTCTGGTATAGCAGTATAGCAGGGTGGGCAGACTGAGCAGGGATGCACGGTGCTGCCCAGATCAGATGTCTGTGCTTGCAGCTGTGTGGGGGTGGGGAGGCACAGGGAAGGACCTGAAGGCTCAGAACAAATAGCCAAGCCCTGGGGCGGGGCCCTCCCAGATACCTGCGGCAACCCTGCCTCTGGTGGCCCTGCTGCCCTCCTGTTCCACCCCTCCTCCCCCATGGTCCTCCCCCGGGTGCCCTCTCCCCTCTCCCTGCACCATCCCATCCACATTCACCAGGCTCAAGAGGCTCCTATCCAGAAAACTCCCCAAGAGCCAAACTCTCCCTGCCCCTGCAGCCTTCCCTCCTGGCAGGGCGGGGAGTTCATGTCTTCACCCACCCCTCCTCACCCTGTGCCCCAACTCTGCCCTCCCCAAGCCCCAGGGGAGCTCCTTGCAGCCACTTCCAGGCCCCTCTCTCCAACAGGCAGGCAAATGGAGAATCCTCCTAAGTTCTTTAAAAGGTTGGGATCCAATCCACCCTGCACAGAAAACACCTAGGGCTCCTTGAGACACTTCCTCCCTGTGCCCCAGGGCCAGTCCCAGCTCCACCTGCCCCAGGTCCCTGGGACCTGGAGAATGACCAGAAAAGCAGCAGGAGCAGGTCCTGGGCCCTCTAGATGCCTTGTTGTTGGAGAATTTCTCCCGGCAAAACCTAGTTCCTCCAAGTCAAAGTCCAAAGGTCAACGAAAGTCACACATGAGTCCCAGTTCTTCACATCTCTAACCCTGTGTAACAGATGAAACTTCAAACTCTGATGCTGAAGTGGTTCTCCATGTCACCCGGGTCCTGTGTGAGGGGGAGGGGCGAGGTCCGGTCCCTCTTCTTTTTCCCGCCCAGACTCCCTCCTTGTCCGTCCCCACTGATCAAGCTGGTGGAGGCAGAAAAGACCTGTCATGTCAGGCACATGGGAGGCTGGCCCTGGGCTCCGGGTGCTTGTAGAGTTGGCCTTGAGTCCCGTGGGGCACGTTCATGGCCGTACAGGACCCCCACGGAAGTGCTGCAAACAAATGACAGCTGAAAAGCATTTGTGGACTTGGAAATGGCCATGAAACCTATCTTCAGCACTGAGCTGTCATGGGGAAGTGCCTCTAGTAGGCAGCCAGCTAGGGCCTGGACTTCTATGGCCTGCACTGCTGAAGGGGCCTCTGGGAGGCACAGGGCCAGGAGATGGGCTGGGAGCTGGGCAGTTGCAGGGGTCCAGCTCAGGGGTACTGACGCCCAGTAAAAGGAAGGCAGGGGAGGCGGTGAGCTACATCCAAAGTCCAGAACCTGGCAGGCCTTGGCGGCACCTGCAGGCTTCCTCTCCTCTCCCTGGGTTTGGCCTGATGTCTCCAGACCAGCTGTTGTTACTGATGGAGCTGCTCAGAGACTGCTTCCTCTCTTCACTTTTTAGAGACAGCAGTTTCATCAGAGGTCTGAGGTTCTTGCTTCAAAACCTCTCCTCGCTGTGGCAGACCTGAGCCAGAGCTGAACGTTTTCATGATCCTGACACTCTGACCTTAAAATAACAAATCCCAAAAGAAGACAGAACGATGGCCATCCGTTTTTATAGATTTCCCTGGAATTATAAATATCGGCATAATTGCGATAGCAGAGTTCATTATTTTCTAGAAGGATACTTTGGACAGAGAGAATTTTTAAAGTCAATTGGTCTGAAGTCTTCCTGCCCAGGAGAAACAGGAAGGTTTCATGGTGCTGACTGTGTATCTGTCCTCCCCCTGGAGTGGCTTCTTAGCTACACTGTGAGGAGGAGAAGGAGGCCCCAGTGAGGAAATGGAGGTCACAGGTTGAGGGGGACATGGGGTAGGGGCACAGAGAGGGGGAAGTGGCCTGTGAGTGTTGTGTGGAGCTGTAGGGTGGGGTCCGTGACAATGTCATTTGTTCACCCCACCCCTCTTGTCTCATACAAAATTTTTTTTTTGAGATGGGGCCTTGCTCTTGTCGCCCAGGCTGGAGTGCAATGGCACAATCTCAGCTCACTGCAACCTGCGCCTCCCAGGTTCAAACATTCTCCTGCCCCAGCCTCCCAAGTAGCTGGAATTACAGGCTCCCACCACAATGCCTGGCTAATTTTTGTGTTTTTAGTAGAGATGGAGTTTCGCCATGTTTGGCCAGGCTGGTCTTGAACTCTTGACCTCAGGTGATCAGCCCACCTGTGCCTCCCAAAGTGCTAGGATTACAGGCATGAAACACTCTGCCCAGCCTGGGGATGTCTCTTTAGGGGCTCAATAAGAAGCTCAAAATATCAGCGTGGCCAAAGTTTTGAGGAATTAACTGAAGCGCAGGGCCGACTATGTGTCTGTCTGTCCCGCATCTTCTTCCAGAAGGCTGGCCTCCCTTTTGGGACCCTTTTCCCAGAGCTCTGGCTCAGAGCTGAACTGAAGAGACCTGGGAAGTCAGTCTGGCCTCACTCCAGCCCCACACCACAGGCAGCACCTGCACCTCATTTTCCCCAACAAAATAAATCTTGCGGCTCCTCTGAGGATCTCAAACACACTATCTACGCCCAAGTAACAAGGCGGCCTGCATGTTCTTGGCTGCTGGCTGCTGGCTGCTGACCTCAGTTTGAAACTGTCTGCTGCTCAGCTGCTAGAGAAGGCGGGGCCTGGAGCGCCTGGGAGCGCTGAAGCTGAGGGGTCTGAGCGGCTGAAGTCTGGGGCAGGGGGTGGCTGCCGCCCCAGCCCAGGATCCAAACAGCATCTCAGAGGCCTGCAGCAGGGGTTAGAGGCCCCCCAGGGAGGGCTGCTGCTTTGCGAATTTTCAAACTGTTTTCTGAAGTGCCTCTGATGATTGGGGGGGAGGGGTGCCTCCTGCAAAACAACTGGCCTTGTCACGGTCCGTTGACATCATGATCACAGCCGAAATGGCCCCACATGGAGCACCTCTTCGGTGTTGGAAAAACCACTCTCAGGATGTTGCCTGTTATACTACATAAAAACCTAACTGGGCGCGGTGGCTCATGTCTGTAATCGCAGCACTTTGGGAGGCTGAGGCAGGTGGATCACCTGAGGTCGGGAGTTTCAGACCAGCCTGACCAACGTGGAGAAACTCCATCCCTACTAAAAATGCAGAATTAGCTGTGTGTGATGGTGCATGTTTGTAATCCCAGCTACTTGGGAGGGGAGGTTGCAGTGAGGCCAGGTGAGCCGAGATTGTGCCACTGCACTCCAACCAGGGCAACGAGAGCGAAACTCCATCTAAAAAAAAAAAAAAACAAAACCCAAAAGCCTGACACATCCTTTCCAAGTCCAGGAGAGTTTTGTCTTCTACCACCTGTGCAGCAGACAAAACTCTTGCTTCCTTTCATTTTCTTGCTTCCTTTGTTTATTTCCCATCCGTCACCAGCTTTCACTCTTCTCAGGCCTGGGCATTTATTTTACGTGGCCTCTTGGACTTCGGGAAGGAGAGGGGTTAGGAGAGCAGGCTCTGGTGTCTCCCAGGCCTGAATGGCATTGTAGCTCCGCTCTCTACCTGCTGAGGGATCAGGAGCTAGGTGCTTCAGCTCCCTGACCCTCAGACTCTTTCCCTTTGCAAAACAGGGGCTCTCGTTTTGCCTACGGATATATTAGGAGAGGCAGAGCGGTGTGTGTAATGTGCCTGGCACAAGTCCGACACACAGCAAGTGCAGGAGAGGCAGAAGCTGCAGCTGCAGAGGTAGGGGCACAGAAGGCATGAGACTTGTCTTTTGTTTTTTGTTTATTTTTTTTTTGAGATGGAGCTCGATCTTGTCACCTAGGCTGGAGTGAAGTGCCATGATCTCAGCTCACTGCAACCTCCGCATCCCAGGTTCCAGTGATTCTCCTTTCATCATGTTGGCCAGGCTGGTCTCAAACTCCTGACCTCAGGTAATTTGCCTGTCTCAGCCTCCCGAAGTGCTGGGATTACAGGCATGAGCCACCATGCCTGGCCACAAGCCTTGTTTTAACCTGCAAGTGGGTGGGACTGAGGCAGCCTCAAGTGACCTGTCCCTCTCTCCCTTTGCTTCCCCTCCAGGAGGACAGTCAGTGACCCACAGCAGCCTGCCCATCATGGCCTCCCTGGCCAACTCACCTGTCTCCTTCAGCTGCAGGATCAGCTACCCGTACACCCCCCAATTCAAGGCTTTCACAGTCAGTGACCCACAGCAGCCTGCCCATCGTGGCCTCCCTGGCTAACTCAGCTGTCTCCTTCAGCTGCAGGATCAGCTACCCGTACACCCCCCAATTTAAGGCTTTCACAGTCAGCTACTTTCATGAAGACCTCCATGGGCGAAGGAGCCCTGAGAAGCCAACCAACTGCCACCCTGGACTGGGCATAGAGAACCAGACCTATGCCCTAAACTGCCTGGTCACCCTTGTGCCGTTGGACACATCAGCGACTGGCACCTACTACTGCTCTGTCAACAGGCCACACCCTGTGGCAACAGGCAGTGGCACCTTCATCCTGGTCAGAGGTGAGGCTTTCTCTGTGGCTCTTCCAGGGGCAAAAGACCCAGAGATTTCAACCAGCAGTTTGGGACTCCAGACCAGAAATAGAGAATGGGGCCAAGTGTAGTGACTCACGCCTGTAATCGCAGCACTTTGGGAGGCCAAGGCGGTAGATCACCTGAGGTCAGGAGTTTGAGACCAGCCTGGACAGTATGGTGAAACCCTTCTCTACTAAAAATACAAAAATGAGCTGGGCATGGTGGTGGGTGCCTATAGTCCCAGCTACTCGGAAGGCTAAGCCACGAGAATCCATTGAACCCAGGATTTGGAAGTTGCAGTGAGCCTAGATCGTACCATTGCACTCCAGCCTGGACAACAAGAGCAAAACTCTGTCTCAAAAAAAAAAAAAAGGAAGGAAAGCTCACATCTGTAGTCCCAGCACTTTGGGAGGCCGAGGAGGGAGGATCACCTGAGGTCGGGAGTTCAAGTCCAGCCTGACCAACATGGAGAAACCTCGTCTCTGCTAAAAATACAAAAAAATTAGCCAGCATGGTGGTGCATGCCTGTAATTCCAACTACCCAGAAGGCTGAGGCAGGAGAATTGCTTGAACTGGGAGGCAGAGGTTGCCATGAGCTGAGATCATGCCATTGCACTCTAGCCTGGGCAACAAGATCGAAACTACATCTCAAAAAAAAAAAAAAAAAAAAAGGCGGTGGCTCAAGCCTGTAATCCTAGCATTTTGGGAGGCCTAGGTGGGTGGATCACCTGAGGTCAGGAGTTCAAGACCAGCCTGGCCATTATGGTGAAACCCCATCTTAAAAAAAAAAAAAAAAGGAAATAGAGAATGATTTGCCTTCTCTGCCAATGTTGGCAAAGCAGGACCCAGCCTTTTCAGGGAGCCCTGGCCTGCGCTGTGCCAGGGCCCCACCTGCATATGGAAAGGGAAGGCCTGGCTTGCAGATCGGCCCCTAGATGCCTCTGGAAGGTGACCTGAGAGAGCTCACTCGGGCCCTTGGTCTCAGCGTGCACAGGCATCATGGCTTGGTGGACTTCTATAGAACTAGCCAGGTGCATGTATGTTCTTGTGGGAGCCTCGTGTATGTGAGCACTTGGCTCATGTATAATATACCTTTAGAGGTACAGGGTTTTAGTTTTCATCACGTTCTCTTATTTATTTATGTATTTATTTATTTTTTCTGAATCCAAGGTAAGATATTTTTTTTTTATTTATTTTTTTGAGACAGAGTCTCACTCTATCACTAGGCTGGAGTGCAGTGATGCTATCCCGGTTCACTGCAACCTCCGTTTTCCAGTTTCAAGCAACTCTCCTGCCTCAGCCTCCCAAGTAGCTGGGACAACAGGCACACACCACCACGCCCGGCTAATTTTTTGTATTTTTAGTAGAGACGGGGTTTCATTATGTTGCAGGATGGTCTCGATCTCTTGACCTTGTGATCCACCCACCTCAGCTTCCCAAAGTGCTGGGATTACAGGCATGAGCCACCACGCCTGGCCATCTTTTTTTTTTTTTTTTTCTGAGACGGAGTCTCACTGTGTCACCGAGGCTGGAGTGCAGTGTCACGATCTCTGCTCACTGCAACCTCCACCTCCAGGGTCAAGCATTTCTCCTGCCTCAGCCTCCCAAAGTGCTGGGATTACAGGTGTGAGTCACCACAACCAGCTAGTTATCATCACATTCTCAAAGGAGTGATGACCCCAAAAGTTATGAGGGAGCCCCTGGCTGAAGCCCTGATTCTCTGACCTACCTCTGCGATCCCCTGGAAGGAGCTGGGGGCTTCCAAATCCCATAGGCCTGGGTTTGCACCCCTGTCCAGCTGCCTGATGTGAGCTTGGGCCTGGTCTTCATGGCAATCCTCTGCCTTCCAAGGACTTGGATGAGGATGAGGGAGATGGTGCCCATACGGGCTGGTGGCTGACTATAGGCACTGCTGGGGAAATCACCATGTGCCTGGCACCTGGTTCACACCCTGTGTGTTTTTGCCAGCCAGATGGATGAATGGATGGGGTAAAGGGGAAGGAGGAATGGATGACAGCAGGAGGAACAGTAGGATGACACAGAGGGAGGGCTGGGCCTCACCTAGCCCAGGTGCAGGGCCCCTCCACTGTCAGTCCCATTATAAACCCACCTCCTTCAGCCCTAGCCACATTCACCCCTATTATCACCACCTCACACAGGGAAAAGAAGAGACCCCAAGAAGGGAGACAATGGGCTCAGAGCCCTGCAGGCAGCCCTCAGGGGAGCTAGGGCACTGGGGCACTGGGGGAGCAAACGAGGCGGTCCCTGTCCTTACAGAGAATCAAGGCAGTGAACATAAAAAGGACCAAGGGGAGGCCGGGCTCAGTGACTCACACCTGTAATCCCAGCACTCTGGGAGGACGAGGCGGTTGGAGATCATCTGAGGTTGGGAGTTTGAGACCAGCCTGACTAACATGGAGAAACCCCACCTCTACTAAAAATACAAAAATAAGCCCAGTGTGGTGGCACATGCCTGTAATCCCAGCTACTCAGGAGGCTGAGGCAGGAGAATCACTTTAACCCGGGAGACAGAAGTTTCAGTGAGCTGAGATCCTGCTTCTAGCCTGGGCAACAAGAGTGAAACTCCATCTCAAAAAAAAAAAAAAAAAAAAAAAGAAAGGCAGAAAGACAGAGAGAGAGAGAGAGGGAGGGAGGGAGGGAGAGAGAAAACAGAAAAGAAAAGAAAAGGACCCAGGGGGACAATGAAGGCCTGAGGCCCGGTTCCCGGGGACCCTAGTGGGGTGTGGAGTGTGTCAGCAGGGGAGTATTGAAAACAGGTCCTGGGTGAGGGAGAACATCAGGTGGGTGTGCCCCGCTTTCTCCTGGGTCACTGACCCCTCTGCTCCCCTGCTCTTCTTCCTAGACACAGGGTACTGAGAGAGAGCCCCTGTGGAGCCCTTAGAAGCTCCTGCTCTTTGGCTTCACCGGCCTCCTGAGTGTCCTGAGTGTTGTGGACACAGCCCTGTGGCTCCAGAAGAAGGTAGGCATGAATACTCACAGCCACACAGCCCCTCCACCCACACACCATGGGTTGGGGTGCCTCCAGGAAACAGAGAAGCTGCTGTGTCCTTGCCTGGTGAGGGCACATCCACATCTGTAACAGGTGGCCCTGGTGACTCCTTGTATTGGGACTGAGGGCACCTCTCCTGTGCCACTCCCCGAGCTGCCGTGGGGCCCCTTTTGATTCTGCTGAGAACCTGAGAGGGCCTGCAGACCCTCCTGCCTACCATTCCAGCTCCACAGATTAGGAAATCCCTGCCCAGAATTTTTGATCCCAGGAGGCTGGAAGAGAAGAAGGGGCTACCAGCCACTGGCACAGGTGCCCTCCCACACACCCTCCACCATAGCTCCACAGGGAGGTTCCTTCCCATTTCACAGCTCTGGGTGAGGCTCAGAGGTTGTGATTTGCCCAGGGTCAATAGTAGGTGTGCAGCAGAGTCGGGACTAGAGTGCAGGATGGGGTAGCTGGGTCCAGCTTCTCACCTGGACAGCTCCTGCTCACACTGCAGGTGGCCCCTGCCTGCTGAAGGAGCTTCTCTGCTGGCCCCCCCATACTCACTGTCACCCAGCCCTATGGATTCCTGTTCAATGCAGGCCCACCCTTCCTACCTGGCAGCAAGTGCCAGGAGGCCAGAGGCTGAGGCAGTCTTCTCTGGGGGTTTCGTGCCCAGCACATGAGAGTGCTCAGGCAGTATGCTGAGGGAAAGTATGTAGTACCCGCTGGGTTTTCCCAGGCCCAGGGGTGCAAAGATGACAGGTCAGGGCTCCTCAGAAGCTGCTGTTAGCAGCTCAGGCTACTGCTGCGCCCTTCAGGGACCTTCAGGGCCAAGCCTGAGGGCAGCTGAGTCAGCAATGGCCCTGGGTGTGAGGGGAGGGCAATGACACCATCACCTGGTCTCCCTGGGTCAAAGAAGGCTCAGCCCCTGCATCCAAAGGCCGAGACCCTACCCACACCCAGAGGAGAGCTCTCTTCCATGGGAATTTATGTGCTCATTCATTCAGCAAACACTCAACACCTCCAATATTCCAGACCCTGTTCTAGGCACTCGGGACGTAGCAATGACCAAACTGGAATCCTGAAATCTCTGTCTCTGAGGCCGGGCACAGTGGCTCAAGCTTGTAATCCCAGCACTTTGGAAGGCTGAGTTGGGCGGATCACTCGAGGTCAAGAGTTCGAGACCAGCCTGGCCAACATGGCAAAACCCCATCTCTACTAAAAATACAAAAATTAGCTGAGCACATCAGCGGGTACCTGTAGTCCTAGCTACTCAGAAGGCTGAGGTGGGAGAATCGCTTGAACCTGGGAAACGGAGGTTGCAGTGAGCCGGAATCATGCCACTGCATTCCAGCCTGGGCGATAGAGCAAGACTCCATCTCAAAAAAAATAAAAAGAGGCTGGGTGCGATGGCTTATGCCTGTAATCCCAGCACTTTGGGAGGTTGATGTGGGCAGATCGCTTGAGGCCAGGAGTTCAAGACTAGTCTGACCAACATAGCAAAACCCTGCCTCTACTAAAAATACAAAAGTTAGCTGGGCATGGTGATGTGCGCCTGTCCTCCCAGCTACTCGAGAGGCTGAGGCAGAATTGCTTGAACCCAGGAGGCAGAGGTTGCAATGAGCAGAGATCGCACCACTGCACTCCAGCCCCTGGGTGACAAAGTGAGACTCCGTCTAAGAAAAAAAAAGAAAGTTTATTCTGATTGTGGTTTTGAATTTTAAAAAAAGAAAGAAAAAGAAAGTAAGAAAAGAAAAGAAAATCTGTTTTTATTAAATTGATATTCCCGCTGAGGTGAGACAGACGATGAACCACCCAGTGAATAGTTAATTTAACTCAGATGGGATAAGTGTTGGGGGGAACTCAGACTGGGAACAAAGAAGTGCCTGCCTGGAATGAAGGGAGGCAGGTGCACACCAGGGCCAGGTGTGTTCAGCAGGGGAACAGTGGGAGCAGGTACTCTGGGGCAGGAGCTGTAGTGGGGCTGAGGTGG